TGCTTTGTTGTGTTTTTTGGTGTCGAGCAAACAGTGTGACCTCGTTCAGAGAGTTTGGAGAGCCAGGAATACAGGACCAGGACACACACACACACTCAGATACACACACACACTCAGGACAGCAGGAGGTGGTACCGCTGCTGCGTTTCAAACACGACCCCTCTGAGAGGTTCTGGTTGGGAAGTGTGTCAACGAATGGCGGTGATCACACACACACACACACACACACACAGTAACAGAATTATCGTCTGATATTCTAATTAGTACGACATCAAAACAGGAAAGAGGTCCACCAGCTCCCAGCAGACACACAGCCTGTCCAACAGCCCTACCTTCACTCTGTGTGTGTGTGTGTTTGTGTGTGTGTGTGTGTGTTCACACCTCACATCGACGATATAAGAAACTTTTCAGGTCATTTCTGCTCCGAGGAGAAAAACTGTGAAGTCGTCTCTTTGTTCTCGACGGCAGATTCTCTGTTTCTGTTGTTGCTCGGAGACACTTCAGCAGGAATGATGTCGGAATCGAACCTGCGACAGTTTAACCACAACACTTCTCCATCTTTGGAATCAGTTTTGGAGACATTTATTTAAACATCTGTTCACTGATCAAATATCAGGTTTGTATTCAGGACAACACTGTGGATCCATGTTGAACCTCCCTGACATGAAAACTTGGACCTTCTCATTCATGTAACCTTGTGTTGTGTGCGTGTGTGTGTGTGTGTGTGTGTGTGTGTGGGGCGGCAGGCCAGGTGCCCTACTGTCACCCTGATTCAATCTGACCCTCGGGGGGGAACCTTCCTCCCAGAGGGGAGCTGTTTCCCAGGGGACACGGACGCTGATGGACACATCAAGGACAGTTAACCAAAGAGAACAGAGGAGAGCTGTGAAGGAAACTTATGGTGCCGTGGCTGCAGTCAGGCGCCGTAACCTTTGTGTTGAACAGTGAAAAAGGAGAAAGCTGTAAAACAGTAACAACATTATTATTTTGAGTGTCAGAGTTTGATCCAGTAACATTTAGGAAGTCAGAACAGCTGTACGATTAAATTGTTTTATCCTCTTCATGTGGGCAGGGAGCGAACAGGAAGTCAGTTGGCTCAGCTGTGGACGTACTCTTCAGTCCCCTAAAAAGACAACCTCTGGAGACTTTATTGACATATGGTGCAACTTTTAGCTGATAGTTTCCAGAAGAAAATGTTGCACTGTACATTTCTCCAAACCACAAATATGTTACATTCGTACGTGTTGTATGTATCACACCAACGTCTCAAAAGCCTCTAAAGTGACGTAGTATCTGAGCTGACTTTGTCATCAGCAGGTGGAGGGGACGGTGGATGGCGTGACACCTGGGCGAGACTCCTGCCAAGCTGCAGACCACTGTGAGAGACCAATAAACAACAGGTGGTGATTTAGTGAGTCATCACCTAAAATGGGTGTTTTGTAGGGACCTGTCTTCTATCAGATTTGTAGTGACCGGTCACTGTTTTCCTAGCGGCAGTTTAGATTCCAAAAATGGGTATGTTGTAGAGAGTCATCTGTTTTTCTAGCTGCTGTATAGGCTCCCAATGCTGGTGTTTTGTAGCTACTTGTCACCATTTTTCCAGTCAATTTTTAGACACTAAATGCAGGTGTTTTGTTGAGACCTGTTTTTTTTTCAGCAGCTTTTTAGACTCAAAATGTGGGTTTTGTGTAGCTACCCATCGCTGTTTTTCCAGCAGATTTTTAGACACTAAACCTGGGTGTTTTGTAGCGACTGGTCACAGTTGTTCTCTCGGCATTTTAGATTCGAAAAATAACTGTTTTGTAGCTACTTGTCACTGTTTTTCCATTCGATTTTTAGGCACCAAATGTTGGTGTTTTGTTGAGACCTGTTTTTTTTCAGCAGCTTTTTAGACACTAAACATGGGTGTTTTGTAGTGACCAGTCACTGTTGTTCTATTGGCATTTTAGATTAAAAAAATAAGTGTTTTGTAGCCACCCATCTGTGTTTTACTAGTGACTTTATAGGCTTCAAACATGGCCATTTTGTTGAGACCTGTTTTTCTTTAAGCAGCTTTTTAGACTCAAAATGTGGGTATCTTGCAGCTACCCATCACTGTTTTTCCAGCAGATTTTTAGACACTGAACATGGGTGTTTTGTAGCAACCAGTCACGGTTTTTCTAGCAGCATTTGAGATTCAAAATATATATATTTTTTCCGTGACCAGTCTGTGTTTTCCTTGCGGCCTTATAGGCTCCAAACGCAGGTGTTTTGAAGCTACCCATCACTGTTTTTCCACTGGATTTTCAGGCACCAAACGTTTGTGTTCTGTTGCGACCTGTTGGTGTTTTTTCAGCATCTTTTTAGGCTCAAAATGTGGGTCTTTTATAGAAAGATATTACTGTGTCTCCATTGGCTGTTTAAGCATTGAACATAGTTTTTTTGTAGCTACCTGTCACTGTTTTTCTAGCCAGGATAAAGTGGAATCCAGTTGTTATTTACAGAGATTTCACTGCATAAGCTGCCGGGATAGTGCCATAAAAAGCAGCTGGTTTTTACTGAAACATGGCTGCATTTCCTGTGATTGATTGTGACCCCAAAATCAGGTATTTTAAGCCAAAACATGATCTAAACCATAACGAAGTGATTTTCGTGTCTAAACTTAACCACACGTTAACATTTAAACATTAAGTTTCAACATATCACTTACACAGTAACATGCAAATGTAACGTATCACTGGTTTGCAGAGATCTTCAATGTCAACATTTTTGCTGATGACTGCATTCTATCTTTGACAGGACTGAATGAGGAGCCATTTATCAATGTGTTATCTGGTTCTCTTTAATACATCTATGTAGCTCCTTAATGTTTTCAAACTTGTGTTCTGTCGACTGATTTCCTTCACTGGTCAACAGCTCAGAGAGCAACTCGTTGTTACATCAATGATCCATCAGGAGAAACCATACAACAGGACAGGGAACACAAGCTAATGTGACAGTTCAGGTCACTGCTGCATTTTCTCTGTTTGACTTATTGAGAAATGAGGACGGGGTCTTGGCTGCACACAAGTTGAGTTGCAAACAAACTAAAACAAACTGCTCATTTCATGTCTTTAATTTGGTTAAAAATCTCCGTTGTTTTGGTAAACCTATCTTTACAAAACAACTTGTTCCATTTGTATATGTGATCCCTGTTTGTAAAAGTTAATCTTTCCATATCCAAAATTTGTTCTGTTGCTAATACCCAGCTTGTAATTTTGGTTTATTTGGAAGTGTCCATGTTTTTGTCACCTGTTTCATGGCAGATACTCTCAATATGTTGAAAAAATAAATATATTTTGATTTTATCTTTACTCCTAAATGGAGACATAACCAATTTTCAATTTTCAAAAATTCTTTTAAATCAAATATATACTGAAGAGTTTCTTGTTGTCATTACTGGGCATGAAAAGAAGGAGTGTATATAATTTACCTCCTGTCCCCCACATCCCCTCCAACATCCAATCTCAACTCCAGGATAACACTTCCTAAGTTTGTCGGGCGTAATAAAATATCTCATGCTCACTTTCTATTTTCCCATTACTCTTCTACTTTATTTTCCACCCTGTTAAACTTCTGCAGTAATTTGAAAGATTTCCTTTATGTTTGTTTCTATTTTGAGTCATATATTGAATCAGATCAAATCAGATTTTTGATGTATCTTCTTCTAGATGTTTCCTAATATAGCTTCTCACCTGCAAATATTTGAAAAAATGCTTTGGGTCTAATTCGTATTTGGTCGAAATCTCTTCATATGAGTTTATCGTGTAATTTGTGATTAATTGAGAAACATTTACCAAAGTCTTTCTAGCCCAACAGTCCAGAATTTTACCCGATTTATTTGGAATTAAATCTGGGTCATCTGCCATTTCTCTGTGTAATATACCGTTATCGTTAACGTTATCTATTTTTAAAGTTTTGCAAATCTGTTCCCAGTTTGCCAGTGTATTTTTAATGCAGTAGCTCTGCCCTGTGTATTTTTTTCCATATTGTTTTCCCTGTAAATGGTAATGTCCCAATTCATATTGTTGCTGTTTCTCTTTCTGTATTAATCCATTTGGTTTCTGATTCCCTTTTCGTCCACTTCATTGTTGTCAGGATTTGTGTAGTAAAAAACATAATTCTGTAAATTTGGAATTTTGAAATTTTATTATTCCAAATAAATGTTGAAATCATTTTATTGCAATTTTTAAAATACATCCCTGGTATCACTATAGATAGCGTTTGAAAAAGAAATAAAAAATTTTATTGTTTCTACTATTGTTTCTAATAATTCCATCTGGTATTAATCCCCATCGACTCAAGTCCTGCCTTATTATTTATTTTCATACAAATCCTCTACATTCTCGCTAATATTAATTCCCAAGTATTTTATTTTCTTTGTACCTCATTAATGTTTGGTTTTTATGCATCACATGCTGGCGTGTTGTCCAGACTCATCCAGCAGTAATCCCTCTCAGCGTGTGGAGGTGTGTTTATCTGTCTGGAGTTTTACATTGTCTTCTTATGTAGCTGTGTTTGAGACGCTCCTGAGCGCAGCGTGCAGGTGACCAGGTGTCAGACTGTAGGCGTCGAAGAGGAAGCTACAAAAACTGCAGACACAGTGGTGGAAAGTAACTAAGTACATTTCCTCGAGTACTGTACTTGTAGTTTACTTGGGCATCTCCATTTTCTGTCATTGTTTACTTCTGTGCTCTGCAGTTACCTCTGACCATCCTCTGTGTCTGTGGTTTGTAATGTGGCTGAAACACACACACACACACACACACACACACACAGTACCACCATCATCATCATTATCATCTTCCTCTTCTTATCTGGGGACAAACGAATGACAGAAGGAAGAGTGAAGATGCTGAACATACATGTTCATCCAGGCATCGATCTGTCGTCCAATCACATCTGTTGAGCTCAGTCAGTGGGAGGAGTCAAAGGACGGAGAGACATAAAAGAAAAAACCAATCAGTGTTTCTATGAGACAGAAAGTGGAGTTTAACACAGGAACAAGAGGAGCTGATGGTTTACTGAGCAAACGAAGAAAGAAGAAAGAATTGTCACAGAAAACAAGAAACAACAGGACGAAGAAATAAAGAAGCAGAGAAGATGTGGAGGAACGAGTGAAGGAGAGTTAAGAGACGAAGAAAAGGAGACTGTTTTTCATCAGCGGTGAATTTAACAACAAACTGACAGGTGAGTGTGGTTTTTATTAAATATGTCAATATTTAAATAGTTCATAAAGTTTTATTTTATTATTAATAATGAATTGTTTCATTTTAATATTCAGACACATCATTGTGTGAACCAGCTGGTTCATTTAAAAATGAAATGAAAATATGTTTTAAAAAAGATTTTAAAAAAAACATACAGAACAAATTGTTTTATTAGAATAAATATAATGAAAAATGATTCCATAATAATAAATATAAAAACATCTAATGTAAAATATGATCATGAGTGTAAGAAATGTATTAAAGATATTAAAAAGAATAAATTGTTTCTTTGAGAAAACCAGTTTGTTCAAAAATAAACTAAAAATGTAATAAATATAATAATAAAGTCAAATCTTTTCATAGTTCTTTTGTTTCCTGACATCATCTGTTATTATTTTATCTGTATACAAACAAACAACTATTCTCACTAATTAACAAAAATATAAACAGTAAATAAATGTGAATCTTAATGAGCTCTCAGTGATCAGTGAGTTTGTGATAAATCAATGTAGAACTTTTAAAATATAAATTATATAAAAACTTATTTATCACTGTAAATCATCACCGTTGTGTTTCATTAAAAGAATAACCCTAGAGATGAAAAAGTTTAAAGAATGAATTCAAAATAAACATAAAATTAATTAAAATTATTAAATTAAAATTATAAATAATGACTCTTTTGTTTCCTAATGCCACCTATTATTATTTTATCTAATACAAACAACTGTTGTAACTAATTAAGAAAAATAAAAACTATAAATAAATAAATGACAAATTAATGTCGAATTAATACATTTTAAATATTTTTATATCAGAAATATGAATTATATTGTGAATGATTTATGACCGTGTTAAAACAAACTATGACCTTTGTCCTTTAGTTTTATTTGACCAGTCAGGAGGCTGTTTCTGTTCTGACTGCAGGACTGAGACATGAGGATGACTCCAGACACTGAGGAGGTACACACCTCACTGATATGATATGTTGCTGTATGTGTGTGTGTGTGTGTGTGTGTGTGTGTGTTGAATATTGAATTTACAGATAAGTCATAACCACGACAGGAAATGTCCTTCATTCAGTTTAAGCTTTGGAACGTATTGAATATAAAGAGTGTTAATGTGTCGTGTTCAGTCCGTCAGGTGCACAGTGTCCGCCTGCAGCTGTGCGTGTTTCAAACCAGGAACTGTCCAGCTCAGGTCATGTGATCGCTGTGGACACGGCTGGGTCGCACACGGTAAGACACACACACACACACACACACACACACACACATGCTCTAATGTTGGTACCATTACCTGTGAGGACATTTTGGCTCTAATGATGAACATGAAAGGACTGTCTCTGCTGTCCCTACAATGGGGTACGTCCCCACAGTGCAGGTGTCGGCCAAAGATTTGTGTCCCCACAATGCAGGTGTTAAAACTGGTTACTGTCCCTACTATGTGGATGTCCACCAAACACTTGTGTCCCCACAGTGAAGGTGTCGGCCAAAGATTTGTGTCCCCATAATGTTAGTTCATAGCAGTTTATTTCAAACATGTGATAAACAAAATAATTATACAGTAGCAGACAGACATAAAAACCAGGTGACTAAAGAAAGAAACAGGTTACTGAAGGAAGTGTCCTGCAAAGATTTGTGTCCCCACAATGCAGGTGTTAAAACTGGTTTGTGTCCCTACTATGTGGATGTCCACCAAGGACTTGTGTCCCCACAGTGTAGGTGTCCACCAAAAGAGTGTGTCCCCATAATGCAGGTGTTCCACAGAATTGTGTTTTGACTATGTACGTGTCCAGCAAAGATTTATGTCCCCACAATGCAGGTGTTAAAACTTGTTTGTGTCCCTACTATGTGGATGTCCACCAAAGACTCGTGTCCTCACAGTACAGGTGTCCACCCAAGATTTGTGTCCCCACAGTGCAGGTGTTCAATAGATTTGTGTCCCCATAATGCAGGTGTTCCACAGAATTGTGTTTTGACTATGTGCGTGTCCACCAAAGCTTTATGTCCCCACAATGCAGGTGTTAAAACTGGTTTGTGTCCCTACTATGTGGATGTCCACCAAGTACTCGTGTCCCCACAGTGAAGGTGTCCCCACAGTGAAGGTGTCCCCACAGTGAAGGTGTCCACCCAAGATTTGTGTCCCCACAATGCAGGTGTTAAAACTGGTTTGTGTCCCTACTATGTGGATGTCCACCAAGGACTTGTGTCCCCACAGTGCAGGTGTTCAATAGATTTGTGTCCCCATAATGCAGGTGTTCCACAGAATTGTGTTTTGACTATGTGCGTGTCCACCAAAGCTTTATGTCCCCACAATGCAGGTCTTTAGTAGAATTGTGTCCCCACAGTGCAGATGTCCACTAAAGATTTATGTCCCCACAATGCAGGTGTTAAAACTGGTTTGTGTCCCTACTATGTGGATGTCCACCAAACACTTGTGTCCACACAGTGAAGGTGTCCACCCAAGATTTGTGTCCCCATAATGCAGGTCTTTAGTAGAATTGTGTCCCCACAGTGCAGGTGTCCACCCAAGATTTTAGCCACCAACCAAACTCTATGGAGATTTTCTTAGTATTCAAGCACATCACACTGTTTCACAATTTATATTTATTATCTTTAGTGTTAAAACTAAAAATTGTGAATCTCTACGTCGTGGATTAAATGTTTCAAAGACTCTCGTGGTGAACGGCACCAGACCTTTTTAGTTCCTCACAGACTGGAGGTTATTTAGCAGAAAACAAGTCAGAGTCAACCTCTTTATAGAATCCTTCGTCATACTACGATTAAACCTTCCACAGTCCTGATGTTATTCAGGTATGATCTCGACATCATTCACTGACTGACTGCAGCCGCTCACGTTTTCTGATCCCAACAAAACTTTCTGTGACGTCTAAAATGTGAAAAACATTTCTGTTCGTCTGCTCAGTGTTCAAGACAGAGAGACAATCTGCAGTTTGACAGCGTCACTGTGTTGGACTTTACACACCTACTGACACACACACACACACACACACACACACACACACACTGCAGGTGTGTTCAGTCACCACGGTGACATCAAGTCAGGTGTCGCTGTCATCACATCACCAGGAACATCTGGACAGAGCATCTGCACACACAGTGTTTTCAGTCCATAATATTAAGCAGATGTTTCCTTACTGTCATTCAAACAGTTTTTATTTCCAGTTTTAAAATATTCACTGAGTTTTTGACTGATCTCAGATATTCTGTCCAGTGCACGACGAGGAGATAACACGTGTCGTCCTCTTCCTCTCCAGCTCTGGCCAAGCTCCAGTTTCAGACCCAGCCGCCCTCCAGCTGCGGCCCAGTGGAGGTGGCCCTTCCTGGACTGGTGTTCGACCTGAGCTCCCTGGTCCTGTACGGAGCTCAGGCTGTTCCTGTTCAGCTGAAGATTCTGCTGGATCGTCTCTACAGCATCCTGACCCCAGATCAGGTACACCTGGCTGTTTGGTGGGAACCTTTTGAATAAGAGGAAATGTCACAAATTGGTCTTAATATGCAGTGAAGTAATAAACTACATTTGATGTCTAACAGATTTTTTTTGTTGTCTTCAGGTCGGCCACATCCTGCACACACTGGGCTGGAGTTTGGGGGACTATGTCAGAGGGTACATGCTGCAGGTAAACACTTACACAGTCAATGATACGATGTCATAGTGATATCTGATGTCTGAAGCTGCTTTCACACCGCCACGCGCTAACCGTCGTGCAATAACTGCCCCGACAACCACCGACTTGCAAGCTAGCTTGCTGTCAAACGGGTAGCAGGAGCGGGTCCATGTCATTGGTTCGACAGCCCATTGGTTCGACAGCCCATTAGTCCGACTGTCCACAGTGCTGAACGGCTTGCGGCGGGCGTGTGGTGCACCGCGACTGGCTTGAGGCAGAGCAGGCTCACGGCTTATGTGTTTGTCACTTTCTTTTTCATTTTAACCCACACCATGATCTTTTCCTGACCCTAACCAAGTGGTTTTTGTGCCTAAACCTAACCAGACCTTAACCACAGGGCATCATGATGATTTCGGAACAGACTTCGGAACAATGAGTTTAATATGGTCGGAACAATGGGATGTCGAACCAATGGGCAGTTCCCGCAGGAGCAGCAGGCTGAGCAAAGCCCTCCTGACTTGCCTTGTCTGGTTCCTCGGCTATGAAATCAGGATTTATGGGCTCAAGTATTTTCTTCTGTCGTGAATCTTCAACCTGTTCTGATGCTGAAGTCGTCTAATACCGCCGCTTGGCCATCCTTTCACAGCGGTAGGATACGCTGCTGGGCGGCGTCAGTTTATAACGCCACCAGAAAACAACATAAGGGGCTGGATGGTCTGTGTAGGACGGGTCTGGCATTCACTTCCTGTGTAAATGTTGAGACAAACCATGATGTTTTTATCTGAACCTAACCAGGTGCGTTTATTGCACGTTTGCTGTGACATTATTTTGAAAGCCTGTCTGCATCTAACGAGCAGAAACTATACATTTCCTGTATTTTGAAAACATACGATGCACCGTCCCAGAACGTCAACAACAGACACACCTAAGATGCGACACGTGTAGAAAAGTCCGCTGATTAAGTGTCAATATGTGACGAGTCAAGAGTGAGAATACGTTGGAGTCTTGACCACTTTGATCAGTTCACGCTGAGGTTTGTTTCTCTTCAGCACCCCAGTGGGAAGGTGTTGGACCGCTGGCTGATGGTGGCCCCTGAAGAAGAGCTGCTCATCCTCAAACAGTTCCTTCGCTTCGGAGAGACACGTCCCATAGTCGAGTTGATGACCCTGCAGTGCCTGACAGCTGTCAATCACCTCTCTGATCCAGAGCTAAGCCCCGCCCCAAAGAGCTGCCAGTCAAACATCAACACGTTCATCGAGCGCAACGGGGGAACTCCAGAAATGTTCAAGAACACGAGAGGAGATTCACGTCTGGTGACCGGGGTCTGCCGCTTTAAGAAGAACAGTCCTGTTGACCACAGTGAACCTGTCCACCATTTTGAAAACTTTCCAGGTGGACCGTCTTTGCTTCTGCCTTTCCACTTTCCAAGCCCCGCCTTGCACTGTTTGGTTCCTCCCACCAAGGTAATTAACTGAAATGATGTTCTCCTCCAAGATCTCGTTTATGAAAGCCAGCTCTTCTCAGTGTGCGCCCTCCTCCTTCTTTCTCTGTTTCAGGAGCTTGTTCCTCCCAGTAAGCTCACACAGTGCCTACAGAAGCTCAGTGGGACCAAACTGCCTGAGAGACACAGGCAAGAAGGAGGAAGAAGAGAACAAGAAAATGATCACAGTCTGCAGCAGACTGAGTTTGAACCAGGTTTTAAAGTCAAAGCAGATCCTGACAAGCCACACCCACCTCGCTCAGCATGGCATCAGGACCGCCGATTCCACAATGACCAGGAGCCTGACCAGCACAGGGGCGTGGCCAAACAGGAGAACACCTCCTCACTCTCTCCTTCCTTAAGCTCCTCACTTATTCCTGCTTCTTCATCACACCATTCGTCAATTTCCTCCTCTTCCTCCACTCTCCTGAAAATCTCCCAGAAGCTGCACAGCTCCTCCTCCTTCTCTCTAAATCCTCTCCCATCCTTCTCTTCCTCCTTCCTCTGTCCTCTTCCTACCTCTTCCTTTTCTTCCTCCCTACATCCTCACTCTTCCCCGTCTTCCTCACTCCGTCCTCTCCCCTCCTCCCTCTGCTCCCTTCCTTCCCTGTCACCCACAGGAGGTCGGAAGGGCAGGGTGTGCTGTGGCGTTTGTGGGAAAAGCTTCTATGACAAAGGTAGGAATGTTGTTATTTCTGCTACACGTCTGTTACTTAGAGTGAATGCCAGTTCCACAAGGTTTAGTTTTAGTTCTTCTACTTTATTTGGGGTTCCACAAAGTCCAATCCCGGGTCTGCTACTGGTCGACTGCTTTGGACTTCTACAAGGTCAAATTTGAGTTCCTTTACTGATCTTGTGGTTTTGACTTTGCCAGGGTTCACTTTAAGGTCTTCTACTATTGATCTGATGTCTTGGTGTTCCACAGGGTTCAGTTCAAGGACCTCTGGTAACCTAGTGTGTTGATGCCCCACTGGGCTTAATTTGAGATCCACTGATAACCTTGTGTCTTGTGTTCCACAGGTTCAATTTAAAGGTCACCTGACAAGCTTGCCTCTTGGTGTTCCACAGGGTTCAATTCAAGGCCCTCTGTTAACCTCGTGTCTTGGTGTTGTCGGGGTTCAGTTCGAGGTTCTCTGCTAATTGTATTTTGATGTTTTATAGGTTCAAGCCGAGGTCCATTAGTAACCTTGTGTCTTGTTTTTCACAGGGTTCAATTCAAGGCCCTCTGCTAACCTTGTGTCTTGGTGTGTCACAGGTTCAATTTGAAGGTCCCCTCATAAGCTTGTCTCTTTATGTTTTACAGATACAAGCTTGTGTCTTATTGTTCTATTCAAGGTCCTCTGCAAACTTGCCTCTAGGTGTTCCACAGGGTTCAATTTGAGGTCAACTGCTAACCTTGTGTCTTGGGGTTCCACAAAGTATAATTCGAGGTCCTCTCCTGGTTTTCAGAGAGCAAAAGAATATAACTTTTTACTTTGGAGAAACAAGACCACAGTAGTGTTGTGATGTGTTTGTCAGAAGAGAATCTCATCTGTCGTTTTACTGGTGTATGTTTGAGCTGGATTTCTTCTTCCTGGTCAGTCGACACAAACTTAACAAGAGCGCCACTTTTTCTTCTTGTTTGTGCAGGAACATTGAAGATCCACTACAACGCCGTCCACTTGAAGATCAAACATCGCTGCACGGTCACGGGCTGCACCATGGTCTTCAGCTCTCTGCGCAGCCGAAACCGACACAGCGCCAACCCAAACCCACGGTTACACATGGGCGCCGGCAGAGACGCACACATACAAAAAAACACACACACTGACCCGCACACAAGCCTACAGTCTGGCACACTAACATATAAGGCTCGCAAAGACGTACACAACACTCACACACGTATGTGCAAGGAAAAACATATCAGCGACACACTTTGGCAACACGATGATGATGACGCACACATGCGCACACACACCGTGAGGAAAGGGTTAAATGTTCATACAGGCTCCAAACATGGCTGCCAGAGCGACACACCCCCTCACTCAGACTCCCCTCCTCCGTCTTCTCACCCTCTTCCTCAGACTCTGAGCCAAAACACCAACCAGAACTTTGCCCTGAATGGCTCCACCTACAGATCCAACCTGGTCCCACCTCCTCCCCCCCTCCTCCCTGCTCACAGTGCTCCTTCACTGGACTCACCTCCTTCTCTCGTCTCTCTTGTCGTTCCTGCGGTGGAGAAAACCGAACGCTGTCGACACCTGCTCAGCCTCACCGCACCTGCTCCCCTCACTGGTCCCGCCCCCATCCCCATGGCCAGTTGTGACAGTCATCCTGTGTCATGTGACTGTGATGTCACAGAGGGGAAACCAGAGGAGGCTATCACCAGCCTGCTGACCAGTCGGCAGCGGCGGTGGGAGTCAGGCGACCCCATGCCGAAAAAGAAGCCCAGGAAGTCGAGCATGCCGGTGAAAATAGAACGAGAGAAGGTGGAGGGGGGGAGACACAAGGAGGAGGAGGAGGAGGAGGAGGAGGAGTGTTAACCTCAGAGTTACATTTAGACTCTTGTTGCATGATTTCAGATCTCTGAATTGATGATGCTCGAATCAAAGATTTTTTTCCACAACTCAAAAAAGTCTTGAGCTCATCGACTGCAGTCACATCCACAGTCACCTCATGTTACCAGAAATTCACTTGGTACAGACAAGACCTTTCTCCACCAAACCCTTTCAGTCCAGCACCTTTGGAACCAGCAGTGACCCTTCAGACGTGGTACCTAGACCCTCGGTCTGTTCAGACAGTCCTCTGTGTGCTGAACTGGGACAAATCATGTCTCCCCAGTTATAACTTGTCAACACGCTAATTCTGTTTCTGGGGTGACATTTTATTTTTTAAAGACTTTATATACATGTTTTTAACTTCTTAACTTCCCCTGTGTCAAAAAACATCCTCGCCCAGACGAAACGTCACGACTTCAAACTATTAAAAAATGTGTCAAAACACTAACTAACAGTACTGCAGTGCTGCTATAATCATTTTTGTTTTTAAATATATTCATTATGAAAATGTTGGCTCTTTACAGATGTAATAATTAAATTATAAATAATTAAATGATAATAATAAGATGCAACACAAAGTGCTGAACACAAAAGACAATCAGAACATTTGTGAGAGAAAAAAAGATAAAAACATATGATTAAAAAAAAAAGTAAAATTCAGTTAAACTGCTGGCTGAGACAAGACAGAAATGGTAAAAATATGTGTCCCAGATTTTTGTCAACTCCATCAGTCAGGAATAAAATGAGTTCACTACATCACCAGGACTCCTGCAGAGTCAAAATAAAAATAAAATAAGGGTTAAAATTAGGGTTTTGTCACAGTTCTCCAGAATGAGTGAAGAACAGATACAGAACAGTTTTTGTTCTTGTTGTCACAAAGTTGTTTTGAAACTCTGCATGTTTGATGAAGCTCAACAAAGACAAACGTCTCAGAACACGAGGACTTATATTAAATAATATTTATGATTTTTTCCAACTGGAGCAAACACACTGGTTTTGGTTTTTGTGTTGTTTCTCTATATTGTGATGAATATGTAACAGCATGCTGCTCTGTGCAGGAGCGCCCCCCTGTGTTCATTCTCTGTCACTGCAATAAAAACTTATTTTACATCGTGGTATTTGTACTTTTATTGTAGTACAATATCTCCCATCAGTGGCTCCCAGTGAGGACACTGAGCACATGTCATCAGTCTTGTTTCTTTAATGAGCTGTGAAGATCTTTACATTAAACAATTACACACAAATATTATTTTGTTCTTCAGGCTAATTTATGATAGTTTTGTTTTTACAATCAATACAACATTTAAAAAACATTTAATTTTGGGATGCATGATATTGGGTTTTTGTCGATATCCAATATGCTGATATAACAACTCATTGGACCGATGACCAATACAGATATCCACTTTTTTCTCCACCTAATGTCAGTGATCATCACGTCTCCTCTGTAGTGGAATTAACATCATATAATACATGTACACTCTTATTATCGTGATGGCCCACCAGCAGATGGAGACGTGAAGTGAATTTTTATAGTTCATTTTAAAGACGATATCGGCCGATACAGATGACGTGCTGATATTATCCTGCATTCTTACTTTAATTTATCTTTCACGGGTTTATTTTATTTTTCAACTCCTTCATTGCTGTTTATCTCGGGACGAATAGGAGAATATTTATGATTAAATGTGATATGATTAAATTTCTACTGGCACGTTTATACAATTTTAACATAATTATAATAATAATTCTTCTTCTTCTTATTATTATTATTATTTTTTAAATTATTATTATTTTCTTAATTTATTAGATCTCAATCGCAGCAGACGCGGAACACCTGCTCTGGTCTCGATTTCTACTCGGATGACATTTATGCACGCACTGGAACCGGAAACGGGTCGAGCTAGTAAACAATGCGCAAAGAGAATGGTTTTTTAATGAAGATAATTAAATGTGTGTAGAGTGTGAGCGGACACGAGGCTCAGAGTTCACAGTAAAATGTCTAAAGCAAATGTTCTGAGAGGATTCATCACCGACAGACTCACCGCCGCCTCCCAGGAGATCTTAGCGGCTGTGGACAGACTCGTAGCCGGGTACGAGGAGGAGGCTTCGGGGCTCAGAGAGGAGATCAGCCGGCAGAGGAGACAGCTGGAGGCTCTGCAGGTTCAGGTCTTCTGCATCAAAGCAGGTGGGTGTTTAATTCCCTGGGGTACAAATTAAAATCATTAAGCTGTGTTGAAGTAAGCACATGCCGAACTCCGTTTAGATATTCTGCAATTTAATATTTATGTGGCTGTCAACAAATCCGCATACAACAAATCAAAAAATTGAAAATGTTTCTGTAATGAAAACGGCTTATTATTTAATTCGGCATACCTGTAACTGACAAACGAGCACATCATTTAGCTCTTTGATACGGTATTATGTTCCTGTCCCTGTCCCAGACTCGCAGCAAATGAGGCAACTGAGCTCAACTCACACGTTGATTTATGAGGACTTCCCTTTCAGGTGTTGCTGCTTTGTGAAGGCCGAATTCACGCAGAGACACCAGTGTTATTATTAATGGTATTAAATCATATGTGCTTCACATGTATGATTTTACATGAGGTGAGGGAAGTTAAAATACCGTATTTTGTTAATGGAGTTTGGCATGTGCTGACCACACATCATGTTCTGCCTGTAATTTTACTCATAATAAAAAAATTCAGAAATGCAAAGTGGAATTAATTGATGTCTTGTTCAGGTGAGAAGTGCAGCAGGGGCTTTGGCCCTGTTGAGGAAGAGGAGGAGGATGAAGATGAGGAGGAGGATGAGTCCGCTGAGCGCCCACAGAACCTGGACGACTCGACAGATGAAACTCCATCAAGGTTCCTCCATAAACAGCCAGTTGTATCACTTGTTACATGACAAAGAGACAGGAAGTGAATGATTTTTGTTTGAAAACTGAACCCTCTATGGTCCGGTGTTGCCTCGAGGCAACATGTAGCATTTTGGCCATTTAAACTCATGTTATACTTTAAAGGAAGGGTGAGATCCTAAATAAACCAACAGCAGTGTTTAAGTTTGTCACATGACTCTCTGGAATCCATTTTGAAGCCCTTTCCTCCAGCCATCCTCCCACGGACGACATTCCCCATTTTGCCCTTAGAAATGGCCTCAAAACATTTTTTGTACAACCAGGAAAAAGTAGGTTCACAATAATAGGTGAGTAAACTTTATTTTTCAATAGTTTAATGTACTTTGTGTCATAATAAAGTAATAGAAAATTGTGAAAATGTAAATGTTGCCTTGAGGCAACAGTGGACCATTATGGAATGCAGCCATGCCATGTGTTTGGTATTGCTCAAAGCATACTGTAAAGTTGGAGAAATCAGGTTATAACAGAATATATAATAAGGCCCAATCCCACTACCCCTTGGCCCTCGAAATGAAGCATCGAGGGGTTGGGGTTGGAATCTTTCCCTAGGAATTGGGACACCACTCACTACGTCACTGCGATGGTTAAGTTCACGCATACGTAACTATTTTAAACAGGAAGCTGCGAGCCATCTACATTTCCAACCAGCATCTACAATGGAGTCTCCAGTTGAGTTCATCCTACCGATCGCGTTTGCTGTATTCATCATGCTTCATTTGATGAACGACAGACGACAGTGGACATCTGCTAGCTAGCTAACCAGCTAACATTACAAGGCAGCATAGTTATACTAGCTGGCGTGTTATCGTAATGTGAAAAGTCCAACAATTTTGCAGAACAGGACAGATGACAGACGCCAGATAGTGCGAGCTAGCTAGCTAGCTTACAAGCAACCTGACGACAGCAACGTTAGCTATGTATGAACTTTTTCCCCCGTCTCTTGCTCGGTGGTAGCCATGGCGATGTCCACGCATACGTACCTATTTTAAACAGAAAACTGTGAGCCATCTATTTCCAACCAGCATCTACAATGGAGTCTCCAGTTAAGTTCATCCTACCGATCACGTTTGCTGTATTCATCATGCTTTGTTTGATGAACGACAGACGACAGGGGACTTCTGCTAGCTAGCTAACCAGCTAACATTACGAGGCAGCATAGTTATACTAGCTGGTGTGTTATCGTAATGTGAAAAGTCCGACAATTTTGCAGAACAGGACAGATGACAGACGCCATAGTGTGAGCTAGCTAGCTAGCTAACAAGCAACCTGATGACGGTAATGTTAGCTAGCTGGCTAGCTTTCAGTCAACTCCAATCTAGACATCGTGAATAGTAAAAAATTGTTATACCGTTCTCTACACAAATACACAGTTATTCGAAAACGTTTTTACTAAAGTTCCATGTTTATTTGCAAAATTATACGCACATGTATGAACTTTTTTTCCCCGTCTCTTGCTCGGTGGTAGCCATGGCGACGTCTACCCCTCGCTGGCAAGTCAGCATCTGAAATCCCTCGCTCCGAAGGGCTAGTTTCATACCCACTACCCCTCGTTATGCCCCCTACCCCTACACACACAAAGGAAATGGGACACCACTACCCCTCGCGGGAACGTGCAAATCTAGGGGTAGGGCTAAGGGGGGGTATTGGGACGGGCCCTAAGTATACTACTGCCTTGCACTACTACCTCTGTACAGCATATGCTTTTATTTTACACACATTTTCCCATGTACAGAATGAACACATCAATGTTCTCTGGCTCCTCAAGGAAGAAGAAACCAAAACTAGTCGTCCCAATAGATGACAGTGAGGATGAGTTAGGACTTAGTGATGAAGAGGTTGCTAGTTGCCTCTGCATGGAGAGGAAAGTCTTGAAGAGGGTGAGACCATCACAGCAGCCTGAAGGAGACCAGGCTGAGAAGAGGCCCAGAGGTCCATCATCAACTGTGCGTCATGACAACACTGATCACTGGCCTGTGTGGGGGGAGAAAAAGGGCCGGTGCAGATACCCCGGCTGTACGGGTATAGTGAAAGTGAAGTGCAGAAAGTGCGCCCCCTACCTGTGCTTCACACCCCAGAAGAACTGCTTCATGGACTTCCATATGCAGTGAGCCAGTGATGGCAGCAACACAAAACACATGAGGACTGACAGACACCGCGGACACTGTCAACATTGACATGTAACACAAATGATCACATACTAAAGGTTGACTCACCATCTTTGTTGTTTGGTATCGTGGTGTGTTTTGTTCCATTGTTGATAACATGGTTATGAGCTTTTGTTTGTTTGTATGTTGTTCCATATTTACACTGTTGAACACATTCATTCCAACATGTTGTTCCACAGTCGGCGACACATGATAGAAAGATTGTTTTTAATGTTTTAAACTTTCCAAATGACATGATTTGTAAACCTTTAATGTTATGCAGTGTTTTTAATAAATTGTAATCATTTTAAACAAAATTGTCTTTTTCCACTTTGTTACCACGACGGTCCAGTGTTGCCTCAAGACAACACACACAAACAGTGGTCAAAAAATAATATTTTTGAAAATAAAATTTTGTTGTTTTTGTTTTTATGACAAAAACACATCCAATTTTTTTTTTTTTCCAACTGACATCATAATACGGACCATAGAGGGTTTTAAGTGTCCTTTTCATTTTTTTATTTTTAGGGATTGTTGTTGACTTACACAGGGTGTACTGTTGCCTCTTACGAATCCAAAAATATCAGTATCAGCAGGAAAATTATTAAATACCCAGCAGTAACTTCAATCTAAAGGCCCTGACACACCAAGCCGATGGTCGGCCGTCGACCAAAGTCGGGCCATCGGTGAGCATCTGTCGGCCTAGTTTTTGCGGTGTGTCCCGCACCATTGGCACTTTGGCAGCGGCAGCTTTTTGGCCGATTGAGCATGTTGGAGCTAGCTGGGAGCG